ATATATATATATATAATTTTTTTTTTTTTTTAAGCTTTATTTATAGGCCGTGTCAACCTGTTGATTAGCTTCATTTATTAACTGGTAAATATTTTTTTTTGGTTAGTAAGCTTTATTGCAATGATAAGCACCGTTGACTGCCAACAAAAATAACTCAGACGTTTAGGCCACAAAAAAATTATGTTCCTCTTGATTTCTTTGACATTTGTAATATATTGTCATACAAAATTGAGAACATGTATCAGATAAAAGCAGAGGAAAAGGAAATATCCATCTACCTTTGAATTAGCCCATAAACAAAACAGCAGAGAGAGAAAACAGCTCTGTGTGGGAGGAGTTTTATAAAGGCAAACTATCACTGCAGATGGAAAGGTTACAGGCTTACCATAATAGGTCAGATACTCTGCAACATGAAGAAATGTCAAAGACACAAGGACATTGAAGATCCAGTTAACACCAGCGGAGCAGGCGTTTCCAGTGCTGCGTGCCCACAGGGGGTAGATCTCCGAGTTCACAGTCCAGGGCATTGTGCCCATACCTAGAATATTGGTGACATATATAATCAAATATTGATCCATTTGTTTCCCTTAGATATCTAATTGCGGATAAGAATGTAATTTGGACTGATTTCCAACTCAGTTAATGATCTAATAGTCTATTCTAGCTTCAACTCAAATTTTATGAACAATTTCCGCTTATGATGTAGAGATTAGGTTTTTTTTTTTTCCCCATGCATGGGAGGAAAAAACAAAGACTGATCTCTTAATAGTAAGCTGGTTGCTTAGAGAGTGAAATTAAGTGATTTTGACCTGGAGCAAACGATGCGAGGTAGAGGATGAGGCCCAAAAGGACAATCCAGGAGTATGGTGTAGGACAGTAATTATAAGCCCAGAATAGTCCGCCGGATTCTTCCGTCTTGTTAAAACATCTGGGTGAAAAACATATGGAACAAAGATTATCAGTTTGAGACTGTAACAAACTGATCTGCCTTATATCTAACATAAGACAATGGTCTGACCTTCCCCACGCCGCATTGTCAGTAGATGCTGGATTAACAGGGACGCAGGAAGAGTTGAACGCTCCATTGCCGTTGTCAAGGTAACAAAATCCACAGCCTGGATCCAGCATGCAAGGATCACAGGACCTGTAGAAAAATGCAGCGTGTAAAAGACTCACCAAAGGCTCAGTTTTCATAGCTGGAGAAGGTCTTCAATTATTAGGCCAAAATGGATCAAAACTTCTAAACTTAGATGGAAAAATTATGTTGTTTTTTTTCACTGAAGACGATCAAATAAAATTAAGTCTGGTAGGGTTAAAGATGGGAACCAGCGACTCATGCTTGAGAAAATGGCGACTTTTGGTTTTGTTAGAGCCTGAAGTCAGGTTGGCAGTGGAACGGCACAGATTTATCTTGCTCTGCTGCAGCATGGAGGGAATTTTGATCCATCATTGTTGCAAAGAAGACGTTTTGAACTAAAACTATGAAAAAAATTTTGCTCTTAAACAGGTTTTAAGTAACTTTTTTTTATATTTTATTTTTTCTGATTTTTTGTTACAAGCTGGACCCTCAGGGGACGGTGGCAGAGGCGTAGCCAGAAAACTTTTATAAGGGTGGCCAGGTAATAACCAATGTACACTGCCGATAGTGAATAGGCGCCAGAACCTCAGGGTCAAATCAAAGATTAAACAAACTATACTTTCCTACAGCCTTTGCTAACAAATTGACGCATATATTTCAACATCTGTGCTTTCTAGATAGAAGGTGTAGTGGATAACCTTTTTTCAGTTTTGGGTTCTTCAATATTTTCCATACTTACCTACCTGTATCAATAATCATTTTTGCATAAATTTTATATTTACATCATTTACATGTACTAATATCTACATAAACTGATAATTTAATATGTTTTTATTAAAATACTTATTTAGCTATGACTTCACTGAAGACTCCTAGATGACTTGCACGGACGCATCATTTTCCTCTTTACCCCATAAAACACTAAATCTAGTTCTGAAAAGAGCATTAATTGTGTACTTATAATTTTCAATGTTAGTGTATTGATGTGTATAATTAACCACAGTGTTTTTGTTGTCAAGCAATGCAGTTCATAAAAATGAATATAAAGAAGCAAAATTAAAAAGATTGAAAAAAAATTATGTTTGAAAAAGATACTGAAAGAACATCTGTGAAAAAGATATTGTTTCAAAATATATACATATAAACTAAAATATGATAAGAATTAGAATTTAAAAAAAAACTACAAGCTAAGGGAACAGCTAAGGTACTTTCCAAAAAAAAATTTCCAGTTTCATGTCTTCTTTCTTTTTTGAAACTCCCATTTACATGTTCATTTCTTGCATCTGTATTGGAACAAATTTTACTCCATACTGCAATGGCTAGTTTGTGTTTATGTCCAGAGACGAGCTAAATCAAACGCATATTTTTGAGATTGTAACTTTATTTCTAAGAGAGCAAACTTGGAAAATGATCAGGGGAATCAAACATTTGCATATCCTCTCACCGGTTCTATCATCTGTAGCAACTACCTGTTACAAGTAGTTTCACAACCTGCTAATAATAATGCAGAACTATATTTTTATTTAATCACACAGCCATAGTTTTATAATTCTGCATGCATCATACATTTTGAATCTGTACTTTTATGATACATAATGTGTGAGGTTTTTTTTATCAGATTGTGAGTCTCTGGTGTTTGTAACTTAATTTCAATTTAATTTCAATATAAACAAGATTTTTAATCACTAAGGGGAAATTAAATACTAGTGTGTCGATGCGTAATTTTGAGCATTGCTCTTGAGCTGAAATGTGCTGCATACATACATATACTATCTGCTTTATTTGCCTTTTTAAAGTGAGGATGCCATTGAATATATATAAGGAAGATGATGTTCCATAGAAGCAGATAGGAGGGATTATAATCTCCACTTTGGAATCCTTCCCCAGAAGCACAGCTTGAGTTTACATTTCCTCCCAATAAATAAGAAATATTAAATAACAGATGATGATGGTTTCTGGGTAGAGAAGCATTAGAAATAAAGAAAAGTAAAGGTTGTTTGTAGAAGAGCAGAAGAATGAGGGAGACTCTGCTTCTGAGCAGCTGGTTTCTGTCTGAAATTAAAAGGAAGTCATACTTCCTGATTTTATTATTTTATTTTTTTTACCCATAAAGCCTGCAGGTTGAATTCCCAGAGTCGACAGGATGGAGGGTAACAGGAGGAGAGTTTTGGGCTGAAAGCAGGAATCCGACTGCCAGCACCGTCAGACTCAGTCCGGTACCTGCAATGGAGCGAACAGACAGATAAATAATGACGCCACAGGTTTAATTGCCTTTCCGTTAAAGTTAGATCATCAGAGCATGAAAGTTTCAGGAATTCCAGACCTAGAAGACTGCCCAGGGTCAGTTTCCGGCGACTGACTCTCTCCACCAGCCATACCCCCACTAATGTGAAAGCAAAGTTGGTTGCTGAAGTTGCTGCAGCCAGCCAGATCGCCTGTTTGTCTTCCCGTACTCCTGCCATCTGCAGAATGGTGGCGCTGTAGTACCTTTACACCAAAGCAAACAGAACCATGAGGTCAAGCAAACTGCACGCTCTGACAAAAGCCCCTGCAGATAAATAAGAGGCAATTAGGCCTACATCACTGTGTTAATCCCAGATATCTGCTGAAACATCTGCAGACCACAACCGACGATGAGCGCCCTGCGAGTTGGGCCGTAGCTGAGGATGCGTAAAATGACCACGCCTCCTGCAAATGGACGATAGGCTGAATTTCAAACTTTGCCTTTTAATAAAGTTCTGTAGAATGAGACTGGGTCCCCAAAAGGCTCTCAGACCTGATCCCGATTCCTTCTCCTCTTCCTCGATGCCGTCCCTGATGGCGTTGTACTCCTCCTCGATATTCTGCTCCCCCCGGATCCGGCCCAGGACTTGACGAGCCTCCTGATGCCGGCCTTTTTGCAGGAGCCAGCGGGGGCTCTCTGGGAGGAAGATGAAGCCGAAGAACTGCAGCACGGCAGGAAGGACGGACAGGCCCAGCATGTACCTGGGTAAGGAGGGAAGCCATTTAAGTCTCCCCTTGAAGCAGGAGCTAAATACGTTCAATTGATTTTCGTGAACCGAAATTAAAAAAAGAAAACCAGAAATGATACAGTGAAATATATTTTAATTAAAATAAATGAAAAGAAATTAAAAAAATATTTTGATAGTTACTTTGCTGTTGTTGTTTTGTTTTTTTATCCAAATATCTGATACAGCTTATATATTTTCCTTTATTTAGTTTTTTAGTTTCCAGATCTTATTCTCTTCATGGGGGCGGGCTTTCCTCTTGACTGAGGAGTGAAGATGCATTTCTATTGGTCTGCTGGACGTTAGCAACATTTATTTATTTTTTTGGTCAACGTGCATCAAGAGCGGCGTTTTTGGATTTCTTTTAAGTGAAGTGATCTTTGAAATCTTTAAAAAGCAAGATGAAAATAATCAAATTTATCAATCTTAAAAACAGTTTAGAAGAAAAAATTGAAAACAAAAAAATCTTTAAAAATGTTTATGAAAAATAAAGATTGTAAATTTCAAACTTGAAAAATGAAATATGAACAAAAAATTAAAAATGAAAAAATAAATGTAATTTTTTTAAATAATGAAATATAATTAAAACCAGAGAAAACAGCAAAGTTCATATCAAAACCTTTTCTGGGTTTCATTTTGGGATTGCATGTTTTTTTCTTTCAAATTTTCATTTACAAAATGTCTTCTTTTGCTTAAAAAATGTATTAAACAAAATTTACACAATATGCGCTTTAATTTTTCAACATGACTGACATGAAGATGATTATCTACATAGCAGCTTGCTTATGTGACATAGTCTGAGTGAAACTCAGTGATAAAAATAAAGATGTTACAAAAAAATGGTCTAAAGCACCATTCATAACACTTTAATGGGACATATCTGACCAAATTGCTCTAGAAAAGGAGAAAACTCCTTCTTTAGATTTTTGTAATAAGAACAATAAAAAAGTTGGAGTCAATGGACAAAAACTCTCCTAAAAAAAGAAATCAGAGTCTAATCACTGACCAAAATCAGATTATTTGCTTTTTTGAAGGTCCTTTGACAACAACTTTTCAAAACCTCTCCAATTCCTTTTAACGTTTTGCTCTTTTTTTATTTATTTCAATACTTTTAAGGACTTGGAGGATCTAAGGAAAACCCTGTCTGAAGAGAAGGGGCAATAATCTGGGTCTAATCTGTACCTCCATCCATCGTGACTCAGGTAGCTGAAAGCTCCATCCACCACGCTGGCGATGAACTGACCTCCGGTAATGAAAAGGGAGTTCATGGTGACCAGCTGGCCTCTCAGCTGTGGAGGGGAAACTTCTGCGATGTACACAGGAACGGTCATAGAAGCAATGCCTGACAAATGACAAAAAAAACAAATAATTTATTTACACACTTTATTTCTCCCTGCCAACAGTTTTTTACGCATCAACCACAAACTTCAGCAGATCGTTTTAGAGATTTCATGCCACAGACCAACAGAAGAGACTTTAAACATCAGCAAGAAGAGAGAAAAAAATGACATCATGAAAAACAAAGGAGTGCATTTGGTGTTTGTCGCCACCAGGGGGCGTATTTAATTTTGAGTTCTTGTTTTGTGCTGAAAATAAATGACTATTGTGTCGCCATTAAGGCGATTTATATACAGACTTTTATGATGAAAAGTTGAGAAAAAATAGGACCTTTTATTTTGATACTGTTTCCTGTAGTTTCCTTACTACTTCCTGCATTGTATTCAGTTACTCCACATTCGGTTTCTATCTGCTGAAAATGGAAAAGAATTCCTGACTGTGAACGATGCTAGAAGCAAAGTCGTAAGTAAAAGTCATTGTTATGTTAAATAATTGATAGTTTAAGTTAAGTTTATAGTAGAAAGAAAATGTAATAAATACGTTAAAAAGATCGTATTTATTCATGTGTACATAGGTTAATTCATCAG